TTACCTGGATTTACCTTGGTTCATTAGTTTAGTGTTGTTACAACATAATCCTACATAATCCCATTGTTTACATAAACATTCTGGGAACTCCAACATAAAATTTTACTACTTAACCTATAAAATTCACAATGTAGGAATAGTCAGAATAAACCCTTAAGAGGACCCCTAATCCTTAATGTTGTTTTAGTCTTATTATCAAATGTTGGAGAAACGTGAACCTCATAGACCAATTTTTTTTTTAAATTATGATTTATAATATCTTAAAAGTCGCAATCTATTAAATACGTAAGTTCAGAAATATAATTCGGTTCATGTCTGTATGAATTCTGATATTCATTATTCGTAATTCGAAATTCCAAAATCACAATCTGAAAAGCCACAATTCTATTCTGAATGTATTAAAAGTGCAAAAGAAAAATCTTTCTTATAAGCTAGGAGAAATGACAGCTTCACTAGCTTTTATTCCTAGTCATTAACCGAAATTTTACACATTTTGTAAGTGGGTGAAATCGATCTACTTTACTTCACAATTCACAACCACATACCTTAACTGCAGATATGATCTCTATACAATTTTTCATTGAATGTTTTTTGGAAGAGGTGGGGAAAAGAATTACATTCTTTAATTTGTATACCGGCCTGTATATTTCATATGTCAATTTGATAGTATGATGAAACTTAATATCAAATTCTGAAATGAAAAATGAAAATATAATATTTCCTAAAAGAATGCGAAACGATACTTGTTCTTCATAAATAAACATATAGGATAATCAGTTTTTGCGAAAGTTTTCCTCTTTTCTTTCATTTCATACTGAACATAAAAAATCGAAAACTACAAAATTTTTAAGATTTCATTCAAATGCTGAAGTTCACAAATTTTCCTTTCTTAATACAACTGACGGGTTCTTTCTGAAAAATTCACATAAAATGGACAACCCGCAACCTTGCCCAATACCAAACCAAACATATAAAAATTTTCCACGCTGTGCATAAGATAGGAAAAAAAAAGGCTTGCTTAATGTCAATTCGTATTGAATATAAATATTTAGTGCATTTTCAGTTTTATTTTTTCCATATTTTTATATATATTCATAATTACTCTAAATATCAGCACAACAATATATATATATTGTTTGCGTAAAATAATTACCGATAGCCGAAGACAAATAAAGTTAAGGTAAATGGTTCGGTATTACTATCAAATACGGGTAACATTTTTCTAAGATAAACATATACGATTTCCTCTCTATTTTTCATTTTTCATTTTTTGAGGGCTTGTGTGGGGCGTCAAATTGATAGCAAAAACAGTAAATATGAATAAAAAAAAAGAATATGACAATATCAGAAAAAAACAGAAAAGGAAAATTTCACCCCAAGGTAACATATCATACCCCGGACCTTGATTAGCCTGAATAATTTTTTCACAAAAAAAAAAAACGGAAGTCCAATTAAAGAATCCAACGATTAGAATCACTTGTCAGTTCAAATGTCATGCTTATAAAATCAAACTCCAGGTAATATTATTCAAGTATCATACGAATCCGGTCGTTTTAGGTGCAAAATTAACGTCTATTATGTGATCACAAATCGCGACTCGTAATTTTAATGAGTGTCGTCGTAGAAAGAACTGTACATTTTTTTACAGAAAGTAACCAAGACCTTGATTGAGGCAGAATATCAATAAAGGAAATGTCGGGTATATTTCAATTAGACAGTATCCCAGCGACACAAATAATTGAAAGACAATTAATCACACTTCAATAAAAAGAATACAGAAAAAGGAAATGTGTAAAAATAGTCAAATAGAAACTTTTTGGTTTAAAATGAAATTGTCCCGTTGGTTTGAAGTTAGAATGGGACGGATCACACCAATCGAGTTGGATATTATGTTATTCAAGATGTCAAATGCACCATACAAAATACCTGTATTTTGTCAGGTACTTATAAACTAGGTTTGCCTTAAGTGTTTCATTTTCTTATTTAGTTCAGTTGCATTTTTCTCGTGAAAAAAAATCCTCTAAGTTGCACAGAGTAACTTTATTGAATAGTCATAGTCATAGTCCTCCTGCCTGCCTGCCTGCCCCCTAATTTCAACTGAATAATCATCCACCTACAATTCGAATTTGTACTTACTTTCCTTTTTCTGTTACCGTATCTGTGTTTGGTGACTGTAAAATACTTCAAAGCACCCATAGCTTGCATGAACTGTATTTCCACATCATCTCCACTCCCTTGGATGCAATAACCAGCGCCATTCAAGTATTTTTGTCATACACGAGTTAATAAAATCAGTGCCGATCAACTATTTCAGGAAAAACTATGTCATTTTGAAAAAGAAATAAAAAATAAATATTGAAAATTGCACTGCATGAATTGTCAGGCCAATATTTATGTCGAATTTTGATGAAATATATACCACAGTCTTATATCAGTAAGGATTTCGACGAAATCAATAATCCACTTTTTTTGTAAGTTATCTTTAAACAAATCAAAAATACCCCCTCTTAAAAAAACAACAAAAAATATATACATTTTCGAGTTTTTGTCCTTTGTTAGATAAAATATTGCCATCAGCGGGACATTGGAACGATGTTCTTTTATCTTAATTGTATTTCCTCACACTGGATCTAAAAATCTCTATGAGTGTTGGTACCATGTAAAACTCTTCACTTTTTCCAAATACATAATATTTGTGTTTATCTAAAATAAACAGAAAAAAAAAGAAACTGTGATCTTTGCTTATTCACCTTTTACTTTTAATGGAAATTTACACGTGAAGATTAATAACTGCTTTTGACCTCAAACTTATTAAACTTCAAAAACATGCAATAATTAAATTTCATGATCGATATGTTATTCGTGGTGTTGAATGTTTATGATATTGTAATAAGAACAAATTATGGTATATAAAGGAAAGCAGCTTTGTAGTTTATACAGGGTTCCAGCATTGTGATATATCCATTGTAGTCCTACTGTCATACTAAGGTAAGATATATATTTTCAAAACTTCTGGTATAAAACTATCATAGTTTAGGCGAATAGACAAAAAGAAAGCATTTACTAATGTTCTCAATATAATTATGGATATTAATTTAAAGAATCACTGACTTGATTTGTTTTTAATAAAGGCTTCTAAATACCACACATAAAGAATGTATTTTCTATTTGAAGAATTCCCTTTTGTGTGAACTGCATTTCAAATACAATATAAATTGGTATCATTTTCTCTTTACGTACCTAATGATAAAACATAAAAACGTATACATTAGATTGTTTTCACGAATTCGTTTCTTTAAAACTATATTTCCACATCCAATTGTAAAGAATCCCTGTTGGTACTTTTTTTATCTTAGGCATTTTTAAAATTTAGTAATAAAATACATTCAAAACCAAAAAACATATACCGATACTAAATTCTGTAATCACACGTGTTTTTTTAATAAATTTCCCAAGGGATGACAAAAGATTGAAAAGAAAAATGTACACAAATTATAGGAGACACGAAATAAACTAAAACTATCAAATGCCTTTTCATAACAGCAACTACAAAAGTATTACTACACAAAAGAGATTATATCTTATTGTTTATATGTATTTCTATCAAGTTTCGAATTATCAAATTAAACTAAAAGAATAAAAAAAATCAAGTTATTGCCAAAGTACTGATTAATGATCTGCTAATATCTGTATTTTATTATAAAAAGCATTTCATTTTATATATTTTTTTGTATTTAATTGAGAAAATAATTGTCAATCATTGAAATCTTTTCAGTATCGGAAATGTGGTCTACTGGTTTTGTTCTTTTGTGTTCCTGCACATTAGTATTAGTACAGGCGGCTGGAAAACCGAACTACAACAGATACAATGGATATAACGGTTATGTAGGTTACAACGGATACAATGGTGGTAATGGCTACAATGGCGCTGCAGGTTACAACGGTGGTACAGGATACAATGGCGGTGCAGGATACAATGGCGGTGCAGGATACAATGGCGGTGCAGGATACAATGGCGGTGCAGGATACAATGGTGGTGCAGGTAACAATGGTGGTGCAGGATACAATGGCGGTGCAGGATACATAGGCGGTGCCGGATACACAGGTGGTGTAGGATACAATGGCGGTGCAGGATCCAATGGCGGTGCAGGATACAATGGCGGTGCAGGATACAATGGCGGTGCAGGATACAATGGTGGTGCAGGATACAATGGCGGTGCAGGATACAATGGCGGTGCAGGATACATTGGCGGTGCAGGATACAATGGCGGTGCAGGATACAATGGCGGTGCCGGATACAACGGTGGTAATGGTTACAATGGTGTTGGTGGATATAACGGTGGTAATGGCGACGATAATGATGAAGATGTCATGGATCTTACTATAGCTCCAGTCGATGACGAAACTGTAGATACTGGGTATAATGGTAATAGAGGGAATGGGTATAACGGAAATGGATACAACGGATATAGAGGAACTGGATACAACGGAAAAAGAGGATACTCATATGGGAAAAAGGTATGTCTTATTTCTAAACTTCCAGTCTTTCGTAAACTCAAACCGCAAGTCATTCTTATATCCTAATTCAAATCATTCCTTTATTTATACTTCAAATCGTTGCTTTCCTTTAATAAGAGACATTAATCTTAAGGGAAACAGCATGATATTAATCAATGATTAATTAGTTTATTTTACCGTAAAAACAGACAATGCTGCATAAAAGACAAAGTTGTTACCAACAATACAGACACCAAAGTAGTAGGTTTCAATATAATCATATTTTTACTTACTACATTTTGGACTTTGTTACTCGTAAATCAACCCTAAATCTCTTTTTTTTAATTATAAATACTTTATCATCTTGATGACAAACTTAAATGATATCTTATTCTTATAATTTTCAATTTGTTATAACGTCTCTCAAGTAGTGATGTTATTTTATGATAAAATACTAAAACACCAAGTGATAAAAATTTATTTTTATTTTTCTGTTAATATAGCCATACGCCAAAGCCAGAAAAGTAAGTATGATTATTGTCCACAACATGTTGTGGTTTTCCATGTTCTTTGACATATTTTTATTTCATATTTGTGACTAGCTTCGAGATTCTTTAAAATAAAGGACTTACATTTTATATTTTGCAGTGTGGAATTTAATGGCGGACGTCAAGATTTTTTCAAATACATCTATTAATAAAGTATTCCATCAGCTTCATATCAATTTTCAATATCTATTTTTAAATTAGTTCAAAAGAGTAAAGTAGTTATGGCCTACAAATGACACTATTTGCATTTGGTTACCATCAACATTGCATATGCAATGCAAATTTCTTTCAATTCAATGCACTAGTTAAAATATGAGCTTTTGTTTTCTGAATCGTTTGCTTGATGTCTTAATGATGTATATATCATTCATATTCATAATTTTATTTGAGAAAAGCCCGAAGTGTAAAACTAAAGATAATCCTCCTTAAAGTTCTTGCTCTATTTGCAATAGCTATTTAAGAAATTTAGAAGGTTATCGTACATCTCCACTTAACAGATTTATAAAACTGCATATGCAATTATTGTTATATTTTGTTCACGAAGATACATGTTTTGTTAACAGTTATCTCAAGTAATCAAATTTGAAAACAAAATGTAATCCCAAAAATATACATGTTGGTAAAATTTAAGTATACTTGCCGTTTAAAATTCTGAAAAATCATTCAAGAAGAGAATGAAATCATAAAATAATCTCTTGTTAAATAAAATAAATGCTGTAGAATGATATGATTAAATTCTCATGTTTTAGCGAAAAATGATAAATTAGGAAAAACTTAAACGATTACTTATTTTTTTAATTTTCAATATGTTTGAACGTTTCTCCAGTAGTACATTTTATAATACTATAGGAAAACAACAAGTAATTAAAAAATATTTTCTTTCTTTTTCCGTTTTAGGTATACGCCAAAGCCCCAAAAGTAAGTATGATTGATGTATAATTCGTGTTGTGCTTTTTTTTTTCATGTTCTTTCACATATTTTATTTTATTTCATGAATGAAGACATTTGTTTGGAAATTCATGATAAATGCTTCCACCAAAAAATAATAGTAATGAAAAACCTTACACAAGTACCATTTTATATGAATCATGAAAGATACATCACCGAAACAGCAACACATTGATACAAAAACCATAAGAAACAATACTTGTTTATCTAAGTTTGTATTTTTCATTTCTTTTAGTTATTTTATGACTTTAATCGTAACAGTGATTAGAAACAAAACAAACAATGTTTATAATTCCTTCCCATGATGTAACTATTTTTCTGTATTATTTTAGGGTGGTTACTAAGGAACCTGTCAACAACATACAACCAGATGGTTAACGACTAATTTATGGTTATTTTGAAAATTTTTGTTTATAATTATATTAAATTTTGCATTGGTAGATACTATTTTATATGTTTTTAACATGTTAATATCCATTTTCCTTCAACAATCAAATGACAGTTAAACAATATCTGATTACCTTAAAGATAAAACTACACCTAACATTTCATAAACCTATATCAATCCTATTGCATCCAAGATTTTCAACCACAAGAGGGCAATAGAGAATTTTACCCTCAAGGGTATATCCAAACCTCCCAATAACTGTTACTTATTGTCCCTATACAAATATAGTCCCGCTGGTAATGTTATTACTGAAGACCTTGATCGTAACACTGAAAACTTAGAGAGTTGTTAGCCAAAGGTCCGAAATATCGAATTCCCCAACTATCAGCTTGGAGAAGAACTAACGGATGCAGTTAAGGACTATGCAAGAAAACGAGTAAAGCGCAAGCCAGTTGAACACAAACCGGACACTTTGGCTTGTTGATCAAAGTTATTCGGTGATGTATTCAAAAGCGCATTAAAAATCTACGACGTACAATGAGCACACGGGTTTCAAGTTCTTCCAAAAAGCTCTATGATGTAAATATTTTCCTCTCCTCCCGATAAATATGTTATTGTTCGAGCTTAAAAAGTCGCAAATAATATTTTATTTGAAAAAATGATTATACGGAAGGTTAACTTAAGAACTCGGAATTTACAGCAATATCGAAATCCAACATATATTCCTACATCTTTTACGATAGAAGAGATTTTTAGAAAATCACAAATCCGTCCGTTTCTATGCAGCAACATTCTAGCAACGTCTGCATATGAAGTATATATCTTTCTGTTGAAACTGTATCCCACAGCTTGTACTTGCTATCATGATTTCCTTGGTAGAGGGTTGATGATTGGAAACAAGGGTTGTACAGGTGTGGTCATCTCTTCGAAAATTTGACGGACGCAATCACCGTTGATCGTTATTTAATATCTGTTTCACAGATGACGACATGAGTAAATCGTAGGTACTTATTTCTTCTATTGCGTTCACAAAAAATCTTACTTTGTGAAGTAGCGCAAATGTTCCGAAAAACAAATACACCGATGATAGTATTTGCAAACGTTGTGCATTTTGATCGACAACATAATCATTTGTTGAGTTTGGTGGATCGATATTTCAACAGCGTGTACTAATTGTGCACCCTACTGGTCGACCTTTTTTGTACTCATATGAAGCAGAATTTATACAAAACTTCTCAAAGACAAAAAAACCTCTTTGCAAAGGTCTTTAATTTAACTACAGATATATTGTTGATACCCTGCCACTCAAGAACCCACATTTCAGGTGATCTTTTCCTCGTTTTGACACAGATGGTCGACTGCAAACTAGATTCTAAAACAAACGTGATGCTTTCAACTTTCCAATTGTGAACTTACCTTTTCCCATTAGAGGAATACTGTCTGCTCTATTATATGGCGTTTACAAATCTCAATTGATACGTTACGCTTGCTTGTACATGTTCATGCTATGCACACTTAATTAACAAAAGCATGCTCCTTACACAAAAGCTACACTAACAAAGGTATGAGGAAGAACGACTGAAATCGACACTATACAAGTTTTGCGGTTATTATCACGATTCGGTAGACAGATACGATTTACGTGTCTCAAAACACTAACAAAACGTTTATGAAGTCTTAGATCCTTAGAATAGGCGTCTATCTGTTATCGTACCGATTGTGTCTTGTTCCTGATGTTGACATTTTGACTATGTAAGGATTCGGATTGCGGGTGATGCATGCTTAGCATAAGACGATTACCCTGTCAACACACCCAGATAACTCCTTACTTAGTTTTTGTGTGTTTTGTTGATTAGTCTTCTTAATCGATTTATAAGATAACAACATCAGTAAACTACTGTTCCCTATATTTAATAGTAACACTATAATAATGATTCTGAATGATGCATTAACGATAGAAAAAAAAAGTTAGTAAGAAGGCATGTATATTTTGATCTCATATGTTTCCCCTTAAAAAAACTTAATGATTAAACAAAGGTTATTATTTCAATAAAATAATATCAAACATGAGGTCGAAATGAAATGATATTTAACGGGTTTTTGTGTTGTTTATGAAAAAATAAGGAGATGTGGTTGATTATGAGTAACCATATACAGTAGTGACCTTTAAAGGTTCAGTTGCAGTAATTTAATCATTGTTTTATATTTGACTCTTTGTGAGGCGCACGGACCTGTATGTAGATATCTATAAACTCATCTGTAAGAACGTCCGTGTAGTATGTCCGGCATACCACCACCACATTGTTGGCAGCTTTGTCGACCGGTACGAAGACAACCCATTTTGTGAGTACTTGAAGTGTGTTTCTTATTCTTAAAGTGGGCGAATTATATACCCTTGGTATATTTCTGAATTGTTTAGATGTATGAAGGGTATGCATTTTTCAAAGGAAGTTTAATTCTTCGCCTTATTTTTGATCATTGCATTACAAAATACAATGAGAAAAATTATGTTATGGTTTTTATTTACTAAAATGATCAATCGTCTGGTGATCGTATGAAATTTACCTTTGAAAAATTTGGTCTGTTGTTGCAGCTGCCTCTATATTGTTAGAAACTAACCACTCTAATACAATAACAATTTCGTGTAAATTCAGGACGAGAACAAATTATCAATCATCTATTAGGTATGGCTTGCAAATGAGGTCGATTGGGATGAAGGGTTGGAAATGTTGACTGCAACTATATAAGTGTATGTTGGGTATGTTGAGTTTTTTTTCAGCATGCTACCTACAGACCTCTCAAAAATAGTTGCATCGGGGTCTTTAACGTCATAGAGCGTTGCACTCTCCCTACACAAGGCATAAGAGTTAACGTCCTCATTCCGATTGGTCATTGCTGCGTATTTATACTTTGAAGCTGGTAAATATTTGTATACATAATGGTCAGATTATATTTTATTTCACAGTAAGATATGCAAAATATAATGTCAACTGCCATTATGAAATTGATAATGTTACTATCAAGACAACTTTTAAAGCAACGTCTTTGTACAAAGTTGATCCTAGAAGGTTTTGGATGTTTTCTTTTGACCATTTGTTTTATGCTCAAGGGATAATAAAATAACCTAATTTGTCACTTAAAATGTACTCAAAATGTTTCATTAAATCGAACCAATACCAAATAAGTAGCTACTGGGTGGACGATACCCTGAGAGACTTACAGTCCAGCAGTAACAGGAACAACCTAGCAGTAATTAAAACATATGATACAGAATTTGATGCGCACAATAAGTGTCACAAGATACACTCGAGACCAAATTTTGTGAAGCCAAGCCAAGAAACATTTGTGAGCTTCAAACCTTATTGGTCTATAATGTCTTTAATAAAAAATTTTGTATAATGTTTAAAAATGTAGACTCGAGCTTTTTGTTAACTTATTCTAACTGGTACTCTACATGTAACTATAATGTAACAAACAAAACAGAAATGCGACTTTCTTTTAGAGAAAAAAAAACAATGTTTACAATAAAAACCCACAAGTTAAAGACAATAAAAAGCCACAAGTTGAAAACAATCAACACCCACAAGTTGAAGACAATAAAAACCCACAAGTTGAAGAAAGACAGACAAAACCATGATAAAGAGAAACGAAGAGACAAACAACAGTTCTCAAAATCCTTTACAGAAATGAGATAAACACTCTATAAATATTGGCGTCTGACGCTCTTTTCTGGATTTATCTTCATCAAGAATGCTCAAATCTAAACATTTGAAAACAAGGGATGCATAAATACGCTGAAATTTGAGGAGCTATATGTTTAAAAAGGACCAAAACAGAATAGCAAATTTCATTTAAGGTCAGTGTTGCCTTAGCGAGTTGGAATTTGAGTGTTTGAATAACTTCTTAATCAATGAGCAGGGAATTTTACATAACTATATGTTATAAATTATATCAGTACCAAGCTGTTGACTTACAGTCCACCATCAGCGGTGTCGATCCCGTACTAATAAATGAAAAGTACACTGTATAAATTTCTCGCGTCCGAAGAGCGTTTCTGAATTTATCTTCGTAGGGAACGCTCAAATCTAAACATTTAGACCCATTGGTGGCCTTGGGCTGTTTCTGCTTTTTGGTCGGGTAGTTGTCTCTGACAGATTCCCCATTTCCATTTACTATTCTATTTAGAGGCGGCGGATGCTGAATACGCTGAAACGTTCGGAGCTATATGAACGATACTAGTAAATTGATAATGGAAAGTAAGAACTATCTTCGGAAACAATTTTTACTAAACATACTAGATTATACATATCGATAAATGAGTATTATATATATATATATTTATCATATACTTGTATAAAATATTATTTAAATTTCACAGTTCAATAACATTTAAAAATATTAAAAGGCTATGAAAGGATTACTATGTTTATTGACCAGATTCCCAAGAATTTCCTCAGCGGGCTGATAAACGAACCTTTATTGACTGCTTCCGGAATGTTATCACATGCCTTTCCGTTAATGTCCGTGACGTTTATCACATGCAACTTCGTGCATTTCCGGAAATTTGTTAGAAAACGACAAC